TCTCTGCAGGAGAGATGACTAACAACACCAAGGACAAGACGCGTGCCGCGAAGCATCTCGCGAGGCTGCGCCTGACTTTGAGCGAAAAGAGCCAATACCATGATATTCAAAATGGTTGGGCGACGATAAGGCCGAAGTCCTGGCGACCGGGCCGATCAAGAAAGCGCCGAGGCTTCTCAGCAGGGCGGACTGCGCGAAAGCCTGGCCGATGCTTGTCTGGCACGGTCATGGGGTGAGAATGTGCGCCAAACACATGAGCCCTGACTGCAGGCAAAACTTGAGGCGGGTACTGCCGATGACAAGGAACTGCCAGAGAGACAGAGGACCCGATGACTAAAATGGCAATCATCTGAAACATAGACAAGGACCCTTTGTTAGAAAATGAGGACCTCTCCTTCCTGGTGATTCACGTTTGAACATGCTGCGCATCCCTCGGATCCAATTCTGCGCCCCCATGCGCCGAAAATGCTTTTTTTAACGCAACAAGCAGCTCCAAGGCGCCCAAACCACCTTTACCAGCCAACCCCCAGAGCTCGCGAAATTTAATATGACATTATGCAGGATCCCTATATCCCTAAATACCTTACACCCTAAGAGGGGCGCTATGGATTTTGGCCTAAATCGCGTCGGATGGCTGGTGCCTCATGAATGCGGGCCCGATTGAGAGTAGTTCTGCGTTTAGGGTTTAAGCGCATTGGCTTTTTGGTGCTATTAGAACGTGCCGGCCTGGCCTTAAAACCTTTAAAACCCAAGAGTGACACCGCAAAGCCGATCTCAAAAACGGTGCTGCTGCAGGCATAAAATACCTGACCCCTTAATCCTTAAATCTCTTGAAGCCCGAAATTCCAAGGAATACCCAAAGTTGAAGAACATCTGAATACACCAAGCTGGCTCCCTGGCTCACTCGACATTCAACAGATACAGCCCCACGTTGAAAATGCTTAACCCAAGACTGCCCACCAAGGCCAAAACCAAGATGAAACCTAGTTGTTGGGCTGAAACTTATACCTGGGGAATGGAGGGCTACTGCGTGCACGTATTGAATTATGTCCATCTCATCTCGGCCCCTTGTTTTCTGTGGCTGGGGTGCGCCACGAAATGGTCACGGTACACATGCGCCTTCAAGAATCTTTGGCTCACGGCCGGTAAAAGTGGCCCCGCGTGCCATTCAGTGGGACGGCGTTCTCCAAAAGGCGCCATATAAGCACTGCCTTGGTGCCGGATGTTTTGAAGCCAGTCTGGGTGTTCGGTGTCTGACCATCGCGCGAGAATGCTGAAGCGATGCCGCATGCGGCTTTTGCGCGAGGTCGTACTGGCTCAGGCTGGTAACGATTGTCCTTCTCGAAGTTGCCGAGGTCGTATGCTGCAGTACCCAGAGAAGTAATTGTAGTCAACTAAGGGATATCCCAGTGTCCTATATACCTGTTATTGAATTAGAAGCAAGTACGGGCCCTATCACGGTGTGAGCCCGAAAGCGTGAACCCACAAACCCTGCACCCCAAACACTAAATCTATTGTAAGCCTACAACCCAAAACCTCAGAACATTGTCATTGTTGCACACCGGCCTAACAACTTTGCTTAAGATACCTGTGAGCCCGAAAGCGTGAACCCACAAACCCTGCACCCCAAACACTAAATCTATTGTAAGCCTACAACCCAAAACCTCAGAACATTGTCACTGTTGCACACCGGCCTAACAACTTTGCTTAAGATACCTGCTTGGGTGGGCGAAGAAAGGGTTTAGACAAACGCAAAGTGTCTCGAAAAGGCTGCTTCGACCAGGCCAACCAAAAGCCAAATTCTAAGCCCTAAACTCCAAAACCCTTTAAACCCTGACACCCCTTCCATTTTGAATCTATAAGCCTACAACCCAAAACCTCAGAACATTATCATTGTTGCACACCGCCCTAACAACTTTGCTTAAGATACCTGCTTGGGCGGGCGAAGAAAGGGTTTAGCCACAAGCGGCCGCCCCAAAACCCTTTAAACCCTGACACCCCTTCCATTCTGAATCAGACAAACGCAAAGTGTCTCAAAAAGGCTGCTTCTACCAAACCAACCAAAAGACAAATTCCAAGCCCTAAACCCCAAAACCCTTTAAACCCTGACACCCCTTCCATTCTGAATCAATGACTCCAACTTGCCCCGTAAGCCAGGCTCGTGGCAGCAGCGACTCAAGGCAAAGCAGGACCATGTTGACCTGGCAGCAATTAAGAACTGGTAGCTGAGACACTTACGGAGTAGACGTCGACATGCAGCTTCCTGAAGCATGGGTCTAGGACGCAATGATTTGCACATGCTGCGGCTCCCGAAGACATGATGAGAGTAGCGCCATCTAGGTAAGATTGACAGTCTCAGAGAACGGTAGCCTTCGTGCAAGTCCTGCGTAGCCTCACAAGGTGCTTCTTGATCCGAATTCTGCGATGGAGCAGTGGGCCCCTTAGCGGGAAAAAGCCGTCGAATCCCCTGGAGTCTCTTGCATGACTTAGCATTCACGTGCTTGAAGGGCACTGCTGCGAGTGAGAAACATGCACACTCAACTCGAGATCCCAATGCCTAGCGCAGATCTCGAGTGATCAACTTTGCAAATGAAGGACAAAAACATGTCCAGAGTCATGGCGTACTTATGGTTCGCAAGCTGGCGATGCTCACCTTTCTCTGCCTCTGTCATCAGTGCCAAGTAAGACGAAGCAAACTTTGCGTGGGCAATCTGGTTCCTCAACCAATCCTGCAATGTGTCCAAGGTTTTCCAAGTACTGCCGTTGCCCTGCGTGAGGCGACGAATCGCTGCAGCGCAAAGAGGGTGTTCGTTCCGGAAGTCGAAAGACATGAACAAAAACCGCTTGGTTTGCAAAGCTCTGTGAAAGGCAACAGCAGGGCCTACCTCGCCGCCCGACTTCAAGAACTGGCAACTTGCAAGGATGCTGCCTTGCAAGCCAGCGATGCAGGAGAAAGCACTGCTTGCGCGAGCTAGGTCGGCTACAACAAAGACGTCGACGGTCGCGTCGCCCATGACCAGGCGCATATGATGCTGCAGCAACAATCGGTTGAGCTCTACATCGGTGAAGAGGCCGGCTTCGCAGTGCACCGTCATGCCAAAAAGATTGAACTGAGGACGGCTCAGTCGCAGTTGCATCTTGTCCTCCAGCCGGTCACGCTTTGCCCTGTTCTTGGCTTCTGCATCCTCCAACAGGTTTGCGTTCTCAGCAATGGCGTTAGAAAGTTCGTGGCGCAGGAGCTGGTTCTTGTTGGCAGCTTCAAGCTGCTTGGCAAAGACGAGCGCATCCTGTCTGGCGCACTCTTGCTCATGCTTGGCCTGCCAACAATCCCCAGCTTGATCGATGGCTTCCTGGATGACGTCAGCCGGATCCAGAGTCTGCACTGGCGTTGCAGAGGCCACCAGCTCCGAGACTTCTTTCCTGCGAGATTCCAGCCACTTCTTCAAAGGCTTGGGGGCTGTCTCGTCTTGCGACTTGCTCTGCTTGAAGTACCCACGCAAGCGCCGTCCTGCCAAAGCATGCACAGATTGAACAGAGCTAAACCCTGACCCTTAAAGCAAGTGGCAGCAGCTCATGACATTGCGTCCTGACTTGCGGGGTTTGCCATAGAGCTGCATCCACACATGGGCAGCTTCTTTGAAGAGGGAACTTTCATCTGCAACCTCTGCCACAATTATCTGCAAATGGTCGAGCTCGTGCTGATTGCTGAGCGGACGGCGCTTGGAAGCCACCCAATCACGCAGTGAGAAGTTCTGCTCCACACCCGAGGATGAGCACACAAAGGCGCCATACGCCTGAAGCAAAGGTCTCAGAGCCGTCAAGGGGTACGTGGCACGCGACCGCTTCGTGGCTTCTACTGCCAGCCGCCATGCTTCCATATTTGAGCACCGGTGAACTCGCCGTTGCTCTTCTGCAATGCCAAGCAGCCTTGTGTATTCCTCTGCACATGCAGCCGGGTCCACATAGAAGGCCTGGGAAAGTCTCGCCATATCCTGCCACAGCTTTCTCACAGCTCTACCCGAACCCTTAGAGGATGACCAAGACAGGGGAACAGCTAGCGTCTCAGAACTAAACAGCAGGGAAGATGGCAGTCCTCCCAGTGCTCCTGGGCAAGTTGCTGGCAATGACGTTGCCGCGAGCCATCTTCAGACGATGGATCTGATAAAGCGAACATCTTGAAACAACCCATCAGATCGAAGGAAGGAAACTCTGTCCCAACCACCTTGGCAGCAACGCCAGCCCAGCAAGCGAGTTTACGCAAGCATGTCGCGAGCGATGCGGCGCGAATCCCGTTCGGCAACCCAATGGTGCGCGGGACATCTGCATCGAACCATACATACTGTTGCTTGACTTCTTCCAGCATATATTTGCAGAAGCCAACATTCACGCACTCTTGCTGAACAAAGAGGATCTGTGTCCTACGCAGAAATGATTGAACTTCCGAGTGGATCAATGCTGTGTCTGTGCTCTCCCTGTCCATGGCTCGTGTTAAGATCAAGGCTTCATCACCAGCGTCGGCCAGCATGCCTGCGAGGACCAACCGCTCTGCACCTGCTGCGCCTGTGACAAACTGGAGAAATTCGTGAGCTCGTTGGCCTGGCGCCACGTTCCTGCGCTCATTGTATGCCTTGATTGCCGTGAGCAGGCAAGCAGGCAACGTAAGCAGGCACGTTGCAAGTGGCTTGCTCGCACTGTCAAACCGATGAGCTGCGTATGACAGCGATTTCTGTGTTGTAAGCTTCCGCTGATCTTGCTGCTGCGTTTGAAACTCTTCGTGCCAACCCTGCAGCATGGACGAGTGCTCAATGGTAGAAAACCATTTTGAAAAGGCTTTGAACACCTCATTCAACTCCTCCGTCGCCAACCATGGTCGTCGAGCCACCCTGCGAGCAAACTTTGACTAGCTACGCACACCCTTTAGATAGCAAACTGTATCGCCAGCATGCACCCCTCCGTCCAAAACGACAATCTGCGTAATCATACCTCACTCAACTTGGAAAAGCAGGCCTGCGACTTGCGTGAGCTTTGTCGCGATTCACCAGCACGATGTTAGGCAGCAGTGGCCGAAGGTCGGCCACTGAAAGAGAGATAGATTGACTCTCCTTGGCCGCTAGGGTCTCATCTGGCCCTGCATCGCTGTTCCAGACCTGCGTGACCTGGCGAATGTGCTCATACAGCTCCTCCTGAAAGTTGGGCACAACCTCGATCTTGCTACTGGGAGCTTGCGGGTGCTCATGCAACTCTGTGCACGCAGATCGCTGTATGTGGTCAAGTGAGGCCAGGATGGCCTGATGACCCGTGGCTTTGGAGCGATGCATACCCAGAATCCCACGATGCACTTTGAGATCCTGACCGATGCTTGTGAACCGTACCAAGAGCCGCGTCTTTGCTTCATCAAGTGTGAGCGTCACACACTCAGAGCTGCGAAGCTGCACCCGATGCCGTGACCGCAAAGCCTCTGCCAAGCAAAACATCATCTTGCGGGCTTTTGCTCGCAGAATCACCTGGTCAGATTCTTGCTCGAGGTAGCGCTTTGACTGAAACACCTTCCACAGAGAAGACCACTGAGCCTCTGCCGGAGCAGCATCCTCTTCCGGCAATTGCTTGTCCTGGGGGGCTTCGCACCAAAACTGCCTGACAGCCTGCTGGTGCCCTGGGCACTTTTCGTGCCGACTGATGTTCTTGAGCGTTCCAGTTAAAGTGGCTACCGGGAACCATGGGAACGGGCTGCTAGCAACAGGGGGCAGGTTGCCCGGGTCTGCCTGCTGGACGAGCTTGTAGCACGCAATGCAGCCGACTCGAAGCCCTTCTGACGACTGGTACCCCTGAAGCCACGAAACATCAGAGTCAGGCATGAAATGCGCCTGCTGGAGGCTTGCGCCGTGCTTTTCCCAGCAGCACTCCGCGCATTGTTGAGAGCCCAACTGGCAGTGCACCAATCTTGGCTTCTTAGGCGCCAGGCTTTTCCCTGCTGCTAGCTTCTGCTTCGGCATTGCAGCTTGAGAGACTACTGGCATTCAAGGCCTTCCCTACCGTGAACCCAAAGTCTGCGCACGCTGCGAATCTTTCAAAGTCTCCTGCGCATGTGTGACCATGTGTGACTGCGAATCTTTCAAAGTCTCCTGCGCATGTGTGACCATGTGTGACCATATGGGCCCGGAAAGATTAGGAAGTCTGGTTTTAAACCAGCCTTTCAAGAGAAAGTCTTGTTTTCCTCCTTTGTGGGGGCCCTGGAAACTTAAGTTCTTGGGATAGTTCTGGAACCCCGCGGGTTTCAGAACTCGCAATGACCCCCTGCAAGCACTCTCACTCAGCGCT